ACTCTCATTTACTTCCATAATCTTGAAATAACTCCCATCATTTAGAATTGAATGATGAGAGAGAAAAGACGGCAATAAAATGTGTGAAATTCGTGTGGAAAATCACTCAAAACTAGAAAAATGTCTAGAACCACATATATGACTTGTAAACTCACAAAATTGGCATTTAGATTGTGTATAATAATCCCATTCCTTTGTGATCGGGGATTGAGACTATTGGAGAACAAGAAATGCAGAGTTTGAAGTTTTGAAATGCAAAATGATTCAACCACATAAAGATCCTAGAATTCATCATTTCTAATAAGAATTCTTGACCCGTAATTTATAATTATGCAAGCTAAGAATTTCCTACAGAATGGATAATAAATCGGATAAGTTGGTTAATGGGTGTGTTGTGGTTGTGGTTACAAGCATGTTGGGAAAAAATGGCAGGTTTCAGTTTCTGCGTCTTTGTTTCATAATTTACATAAAGATCGATGTTTATTCATATACATGATAACATTTTTTGCTGGCAACATGAGGTATAGGGAGTTAGTGATGTTTTTCAAGAAATTGGAGAAAGAGGGATGCAACCTACTTTGATTACTTACATGGGCGGATTTACGTGCTTACACTAAATTTGAAATCTATGCCTCCGTTTGGTCATCATTACCTCCAAAATACATTTATCTTTCTTCTTTTCAATCACATATTTTTTAATAAAATAATATTATACGCAAACTCAAAACTTTTCCTTATTTTTTAACTACACGTTCTCTATTAAAATACTATTCTAAAATACATTTTGGGTAAAAAAAAAAATTGGGCTCAAATAGGCCCTATTGCCCTTGTTTGAGCTCCGTATTTGGGCTAAAATGCATTTTGAAATAGTACTTTGTTGGAGAATGTGTAATTAAAAAATAAGAAAAAAATTTAGATTTACGTGTAAAATTATTTTATGGAAGAATGTGTGGTTATTATTGAAAAATGGGGACCAAATACATAATTAGAATCGATTTCAAAATACGTGGACGTAAAAATGTGAATAGGATTAGTATAGAAACTAACGGGGTTATTTTCAACTATGTTAGATTTTAAAAGGTTATAAATTCTAATGAATTTCACGGATTTGAATAGATTTTTACAAATTTCATAAGAATTTCATCAAATATGGTGAAATTTCAAAAAATAAAATAAAAATGGTTATATATATTTTTAAACTTGAAATTTATTCAAATCTTTTAAAATATCTCTATTAATGAAATCTTTATAAATTCAATAGTTATTGTGG